TCCTCGGCTCTTGTTTTGCAGGACATTTTTAGTTCTCCCTCCCTGTGTTTGTAACTTGGCCTGCTTCTGTCCCCTGGCCTCTTCCTCCTCCTTTTCTACCCCCATTTTGACAGAAGTGAAAAAATCTCTTCCCTGGGACTGCGAGAGTTTTCAAGTTCCACTGAATGGAGACAAAGTGATGGTTGCTGAGAGACTTGTTAATCTGTGGATTGCCACCACCAGCACCCCACGGCAGCTTGTCAGTACTGGAAATAGCTTTGATGCTTGGGAAGCAAAAACCTATGACATTTTTCCATTATTCACTCTAGTGATGAGCAACCACAGCCAGACAGATGCTGTATTTTAGGGGTTAAACAAATTAATTTATCCATCAACTATTCCCCCAGTTGCAGCTTTGGTCTTGCAGGGCTGGAGAGGAGAGCCACAGCCCGTGTCTCCCACATGTGCCGAGAAGCATGACTACCCAGCTCCTCCTGACACCAGCTTTTTCAGCTCCACATCCATTTCACACTGAAGAACAACATGTTCCCTCTGCCAAGCCCAGCCCTTGGGTCTTTGTACAACCAGCCTTCCACTGACTGCAGTACAAGTCTCTTTGCATAGAAAAATGGGTGATGGAGCCTCCCACTCCCAAACCTCTCCATGGACGGCTGCCAGCCTCCTCCATAAATCTTGGCTCTTCTCCTCCCCGCCCCTGGAAAGCAGCCTCCCTACAGACAGCCTGAGTGCTGCCGGGGGCTGAACCTGTCTTGAACATCCCAACAAGTTGCATCAGCACTGGTGCAACCCCACTTGCCATCAGCAGCAGAGGGGCTGCCAAGGTCGGCTGCCTCTCAATGCTTGGAGCAATGCACTGTCTAGACCAGCTCTTAATGGAGACAGGACAGAGAGAGAAGAAGTTATTGCCAGTGGAGCAAAACTTCCTCCGTGTGCAAATTCGTCTACCTACTCGGGTGACCCTAATCGCCAGAACATCTGTATAATTAATTCCTCTTTCTAACTTATCTTTTTCTCAACCCACCTGAAACTCCTTGCCCTGCTTGATTTCTCTTTGCCTATCAGCCATCGCTTGGCTGAATAAAGAATCAGGGAATTCAGTTTTCAGAAGGTGAGGTGTATGTTGTCCCCTGAGGGAGGGAGCTCTGGGAGGCAGGATGGCAGCCAGCTCTTTCCTGGCAGTCATGGGAATGCCGTCTCGGAGCTGCCAGTCGGTGGGTGGGCGTAACACAGCTGCCTCCTTAGGCTGGGTCCAACCCATTTGCAAATGTGGGTAAGGGGAGGAGGCTGAGGGCGACCAATTCTCTCTCCATGCCACGCTTGGTCCCCATCTCCCCCTCTGGCTCTGTTCTGATGACAAGCCAGTGTCTGCATTTTGGTGCATCAGAGACATATAAAGTCAAAACAACTTGAGATTCTCAGAAAAAAAAAACACACACTCTTTGCATGGTAAGCGTGAGTGGCACAGATTTCTTTCCCATTTGTCCCAAGCCATACATGTCAGATGTAGTTTCCAGATGGCATCTATATCTCTCGGTACACCCACACTGGATGTATGCTTTGCTATATCAGTGGCTGTGCTGAGCCGCAGATAAATGTTTAACATTCCTTAGTCAACTGGAAGCTGTGTGTGTGTGTGTGTGCATGGGGTGTGCGTGGGGGTGAAGCCCAAGGAACATAAAAACAGGCATATGGCATTTTTTAACTCATCACACAGATAAAAAGGAGAAATAAATATAAGGCAACCTACTAAAATAGCATCAATGTCTTTGAAGTAAACCCACTAGTGAGAGAAACCAAAGCAGAGGTTGCTGCATCAGCCTACAGCTCCAAGCCCAGCAACCTGTCCCTGTATTTTTCTGTGCTCCATATATGCTTAGATTTCAGGTTTGGTGGTTTGCCCTTAAATGGGGACCCTTGAACCTACTGCACTTTCTGCTGCCTTAGTGCAACTGTGGCTTGCACACCCTAAAAGTAACTTTATCATTCTTCCAAAGCATGTGAACGCCTCTGGTTAATTTTACTGAACTGAGGTTGTAGATAGTTGAGCATGAGGCTGGCACTCTACATCATGCCGTAGGCAAGGTGTCCGTTGCATACATGCCACAGACCTGATTCAGTTGTTTAAACCTAAGTAAGCAGAGCAATCCAAGACACCTCCAGGTTTCTGGCATGGCCTCCAGATGCATCTCCAGAAGAGCAAGCCATATCCCTGTGCTGATGCTTCAGACACTGTAGGGAGCTGGAAATAATACTGCTCTAGGCAAATCAACTGAGCTGTCAGCTTTGAAATAGAGACTTGTGCTAGAAGAGAGGCTGAAATCCTGGCTGAAGTTTATCAGAAAAAAATTCTCCAATAAAGTGATGGTCTGTGAGGATTTTTTTGCAGAAGGTCTTTTTCCACAAAGTCCCTAAGTGCAATCAATAAGGCATTGAAGAAACAGAGTCAGTCCTTTCCATGATAACTTGCCTGAATTTTTCCAGACCACGCATGAGACTCTGGCTAGACATGGTGATATCCATGGTATTGCTGCCTTATCTGCCTCAAGATCCCTCTTCCCCCAGACTTGAATATACCTTCAGCACACGTCCTCATTAGATAGAAAGATCACCACACGGTGTGGTCTTGGATCGAATGAATTGAAATGTGGGGAAATTCCTTCATCCTCCAGCATGGGAGGAACTGAGAGAGCATGCTTATAGATAAAAAGATGGAAGTAGCCTGAGCAAGGGTGGGGGAATTCCAAGGCAAGAGCAAACTCATGGGATTCTGGGTGTGTCATGATGGTGGCTCTCTCTGTAGGTGCTCTGTACTTTGCTTCCCCTGACCACCCCTCTCTTGGGCCTCATACAGAACACACAGAGAAACCTGAAAACCAGCTGTGCATTTTTTGGGAGTGAACCTTGGTTTGTGGGAAACTCCTACCATTCTGGAAAGAGGACCTTCAGCCTGAGTCTTCCCTTGAAGGGGAAACAATGGCCTCATCTGAAATCTTTCTGCTCCTGGCTACCCAAAGACCTCCATAAAGTAAGAGAATGATAGGATCAGAGAGATGTTTCAGCTGCAAGGGACCCTTAAAAGCCATCAGCTCCAACTCCCCTGCCATGAACAGGGATGCCTACAGCTCCATCAGGTGCTCAGAGCCCTGTTTAGCCTGACCTTGAATGTCTTCAGGGATGGGGCATCCACCAGCCCTCTGGGCAACCTGTGCCACTGCCTCACCAATGGTACTGTAAAAAACTTCTTCCTTATATCCAGTATAAATCTCTCCTCTTTTAGTTTGAAATAATTTCCTCCTATTCTATCATAACAGACCCAGCTAAATAGTCTGTCCCCTTCTTACAGTCCCCCTTTAAATGCAGAAAGGCCACTCTCAGCTCTCTCCAGAGCCTTCTCTTCTCCATATTGAACAGCCCTAGCTCTCCCAGCCTGTCCTCATAGGAGAGCTGTTCCATCCCTTGAATCATTTTTTGCTGGACTTTGTCTTTACACTCTCCAACAGGTCTACGTCTTTCCTTTACTGAAGATTTCACATCTTACTCTACTTTACTTGAGTCATTTTAATTTTACTGGCTTAGGGCTAGCAGGGGAATGAACCCTTTGAAATGGCCTTTTACCTTAAGAAATATTCAGTTCATTTTATTCCTTTGGGAAAGGCAAAGCTATTGGTGTCTATTCAGTGGATTTGCAATAACAAAGAGAAATGATTTCTGCTTTTGCCCTGGAATTATACTCTAGGCAGAGACTTGGAGTTTCAGATATGGGATGCCTTGTGAGCAAACAGGCAACCCATTTAATAAAGCACTGGCCTGTGTTATGGTAAGTAGATAATGATGAAGAGGTGAGCAGAAATAAACTGCAAACAAAAAAAGACAGTAAGTGTCAAGTAGCTTGTCTGTCTTGGGGGTCAGTGGGGCTTTACTACTTGCTGAGAGACTGTTGCAAAGCAAGGTGTCAAAACCTCAACACTTTCCACTATCTGAGTAAGGCAGCATGTTGTCAGAGGCTTTCTGCCCAGAGCACATTCATTCCTCATGTGTTGGATACCGGATGGGAAAAGAAAGAGTATGAGAGAGAGGAAGGATGCATCAGGGAACTCAGACCTTGGTGTCAGTGAAACACCTGGGAACACAGCATTGTCCCTGACTGGCCATGGGGGAGCTGATAGCAGTGTCTGTATGTGCTTCCCTCCTGCATGGGCTGCTCTCTAATGGTAAAATGGGAAAACCCACTGTGAATACATACCCAGAATCTGAAATTATTAACACAAGGTGTTTATGTGGTTAATGCAATCAGCAATAATGCATCAAAACTTCAAATGCAAAGAACTAAAACTTTGAATAATTGTTGTTATTCAGTACAACATCACAACTGCAGAAACATCAATGAGTTGGGGAGAGATGGGACCGTGTGGATCTCTTTATTCGTGAAATGTCTGAATGCTTCTTTTCTATGAGATGTGATTTTGTCATTGCAAGCAGCTGACAGATTTGCAAAATCTCAAATTGCAATATTACTAAACAGAAACAGAAGAAGATATTGTTCATGTGTGCACTTTCAGCCTTTGACAAATATAAGGTATTCTGATAACTTACCTTAACTCCCAGTGAAAGAGATTTCAGTCAGATGACTTTGCACGTGCCACTGGCCGAAGATTCCAAGTTAACTGATTTCATACTAGCCATGACTTGATCTCGAGCCTGAACCTAGAGATGTAACTCTCTAATTCTGTGTAAAAAGTGAGGTGTTTCCTTTATTTTTGTACAAACAGGTCCATCAGCCAGGTTCATTCAATAAAGTTGAAGCCATTAGTGAAACCCCGGGGAAATTTGCTTTTGAATTTTGAATTAGCAAAGCCTAAACTTCAGTGTATCTTGAAATGTTCTCTTGAAGGGTTTGATCTATGCAAAATGTGCTGATGGCAGTTTGGTACCAAGCTCACACCCATTCATTATAAAAATCTAATAGACCAGTACTTGCTATAGTCATTTTTTTTTTTCAGGGCAGCAGTATTCCTGATGGGAAGATTTTTTCTCACACACTGGCAATTCTACATTTTGCTGGATCAGCTCCAGGAGAGACAAGTTAATGCCCCGTGTAGTTTGTTTTCATATTGAGCAAACCCTGCTGAGAAACTGGAAAATAGAGATTTAAACTGATAAGCTTGCAAAAGACAGCTGACTCATCAAGTGTCATGAAACAAGGATTCCCACACTGTGATACACCTGAAAGTGTTGAACTTGTACGAGCCTAATCCCCCACCCTTCTCCTTGAGGTGTTGGGGAATCACAAGATGCTCCTTCTTAGGGGAGACTTCTACCTCCCCATCACAGTATGAGGCCTTCCTTCTAGCAACTGTGCCCGACCACATGAAGATGACCCAAACCACAGCACTGGTGTTATGTTTGCAAACGGAGATGAGATTAGACAGACCAGCAAGCTCCATACCTGCTCTGGATGAGAACAGGATCGTTGTATGTGACACTACTTAATTTAGATCTGATCAAAGTTCAGAGTGCGATTTTTGGAGTCAAACATGCGAAAGAACTTAATTCAGAAGTAGCTTACAGGGATTACTAGATTGCTACTTTGAAACAGACTGAGTAAATACTAATCTCACTTTGCACCAGGAAAAGACTGAAATTATAAAAGTGGGTTTGGATCTTGTCTGAAGCACAGTCTGAATCTCAGCAAAAGGGTATACTACCAACATCTCTTTTTCTTGACCTTACTGGAGCAAACTCTCAACTCTCGTGACGAGGGATAATGTTTGGGTCACAGTCAACACTAGGCTTTGCTTTGCAAATGAGCAAAATGTCTACTGGGGCATCTTGCTTCAGCATGAGGAGCTTGGTGAAGATGATCACTCACGTTCTGGTGTTTGTAGTTCCTCCCAAGAAGAAGGACACACACTTTCCAGCAGGTACAGTCAAGCTGTGGTTTCCAAATTACAGGAGATAGCTCACTGTAACTTGGTCTTGCTATTTTCTATGGAAGTGTTGCTATATTGGTGTGCCTGAGAAGTCTCTCTTTCCTCTAGGAATCTGAGAACATTTTATATGCTGGTGGGCTGTCTGGGTTGTTAGCGCACGGAGGGGAGGAGAAGCACATTGCACATTGAGGCATATCAAACAGAGGCTTTCCAAAGAGGCCAGTATTTTTGCAGAATGTATGTAAATGTTTGGGCATTTCTTTTCAGGCCGAAGAGGAGCTTTTTCTGACATGCCCTTGGGAAGTTTTCCCCTGTGGCATTATGGGGGCAGGTAACACATGATCTTGGACAAGTGGAGATTTCCTGTTAGAGATGTTGCTGGCTCTTTTCTTGAACCCACACATATATAAATACCTTTCCCTCACAGTTTGTTGATCCAGAGCAAAGCTATCAGCACTTAGTGCTGGAAGAGTCCAAGAGCTAAATGCCTAGGATAAAAAAAGCTACAAAATCTGCAAAAGGAACTTTTACTTAGAAAATATTTTGTGACTGAAAATTTTTGCTTACAATTTTTTTTTTTTTAAATATCATTTTCCTCTGCTTGACAAGAGCAGCACCTGCCTAACGAAGACCTAATGGATGATTGCCAGACTCCTGCATCTTCCCTGACAGCACCTGGCTATGGCCATTTAGCTTCCCTTGTGTATCTGCTGGGCAGCTGTCAGACTGCTGCAGCACAGTCCCTGCAAATAAGATTGCTCTGCCTACTCCCCATGTCTCATTTGTAAATGAGATAAATGAGAAAAGGAGAAATTGACCCCAAAAAGAAAAGCCTGAAATTAGACCAAATGGATAGAGGTCAAGTTGTTTAAAGGTATAGGAAATATTTAAAAGAAAAAGAGACCAGGAACATAGCTGCCCATGGACACATGCACAGGGCAGCAAAGGAAACTGCTCTGGTTCCAGACCAGTGCTGCTCCTAAAAAACACCCCCAGACTCACTAGTCCCCAGCATAGATAAACTACCTATGAAGAATCAAGGGTGATCTGTCTCTATATTGACATGGTGAAAGAAAGAAAAAGGACTATTTGATAAGGGATATATCTTCCACAGCATGACCTAAGAACATTGAGGGTATTTGAACCCAAATTCTCATGGCTGTGACAAGATGCAGAGCACTTTTACTTCACTTTGTGCTATTCTAGTAATTTCTCAAAATTTACTACATAAGAGGATAAGGATCTTTTTTCTGAGTACCATGTTAGAAATTATAGAATTATAGATCCTTAGAGTTGGAAGGGACTTCTGAAGGCCATCTAGTCCAACTTCCCTGCAGTGAACAGGGACACCACAGCTACATCAGGTTGCCCAGGGCCTGATCCAGCCTCACCTTGAAAGTGTCTTAGGATGGAGCATCAACCACATCACCAGGCAACCTGTTCCAGTGCCTCACTACCCTCACTGTAGAAGATTTTTTATTTATATCTAACATAAATCTACCCTTCTGAGCCTGAAGCTATTTCCCCTTCTTCTGTCACCACAGACCCTGCTAAAGACTCTTCTTTTCCATAGCTCCCCCTTAGATACTGAAAGGATGCTATCAGGTCACATTGGAGCCTTCTTCAGGCTGATCATCCCCTGCTCTCTCATGAGAGAGGTGTTCCATTCCATGGATCATTTTTGTGGCCCTCCTCTGGATGTGACCCAACGGGTCTATATCTCTTGTGTACTGAGAACTCCACATCTGGATGCAATACTCCAGGTGAGGCCTCACTAGCACAGAGCAGAGGGGCAGATCACCTCTCTTGCTCTGCTGTACACGCTTCTTTCGATGCAGCTCAAGATACAGTTGGCTTTCTGGGCTGTGAGGGCACACTGCTGGCTCACGTCTAGCTTCTCATCCACCAGTACCCCAGGTCTTTTTCAGCAGCGCTGCACTCAGTTCTTTCATCCCCCAGTTGTATTGGTAATGGGAGTTGCCTTGACCCAGGTGCAAGACTGCCTTGCTGTCCAAGGGAAAACTCAAAGTCACGTACCTTTGGTACTGTTTTACTCATTAATTTCAAAATGGCAGGATCTTCTGACAACTTCTAACTTGGATTATATTTATGCAAGGAAAGAGAATGAAATTGCTAGTTCTGAGAGGCTTCAGAGAGCTCTCACAGTTTTCTTCTCTGAGGAGGGCAGGAGTAATGCAGTCACCAAATTCTACCCAGGGTTTGGTGTAAGGTTAAATCTGGTGCAGGGTTAAAAGCACCTCCTTGATGACAAGCATTAACTAAGAGCCAAACCCAACTGAAAGCCATTTGGAACAGTGACTAAATTCTGCAAAATAGTCTGTTGATACCTGAAAGTGGGTGAGCATAGCCTCTTACCCACGTGTTGAGCTTTGATGCTGCCATGGTATGCCTGGCACAGCGCACAGTAACAGTGAGGAAGTCCCTGGCAGGCCCTGGTATTGGCCTGTGGAACTCCAGTAGGGACTTTTTGGCTGCACACTCTGATGGAACACATCAGGTCGAGGGAGGTGATCCTGCCCTTCTTTCTGCACTGGTGAGATGTCACCTGGAGAACTGTGTCCAGATACGGATTCCTCAGTATGGGAGAGATGTGAAGGGTCACAAAAGTTATCCGAGGGATGGAACACCTCCCCTATGAGGACAGGCTGAGAGAGCTGGGGCTGTTCAGCATGGAGAAGGCTCTGAGGTGACCCGAGAGTGGCCTTTCAGTATTAAAAGAGGAGCTACAGGAAAGACAGAGACAGACTCTTTAGCAGGGCCTGTTGCAATAGGATGAGGGGAAATGGTTTCAAACTAAAGGAGAGGAGATTTGGATTGGATATGAAGATGTTTTTTTACTGTAAAATGTGCACAGAACACTAATGTTCAGCTCAAGCCTCAAAATCTTGTTGAGGAAACCTAGGCACAATAGAGAATCAGTGTCTTGACAGGTCCCTTAAACAACACTGGGTTCCAGTTGTGTTCACCAATCAACATAATTTTAGTCACTGACCCACACAGAATCACAATGTCTCAAATGGAGGAGTGTTTTCTCCCCTTTTTGTCACTGTACTTCGGTACAGAGGAAATCCTCCTACAATTATCAACAGTTGATCAAAGAGATGATTCTGAGATCTCTGGACTCTAATCCAACCCTAGCTACTGTTCCTTGAGGATTTGCTCACATTTTCTGTATCACCAGTTCCTCCACTGATGGCTAACAATTAACCTATTCCTTCATCTCCCCACATTATGGCTCGTGCATTTTAGTGATTAGGCAATGTTTTGGAAAAGGAGGATGGAATTGGAAGCATCCAATGATGACAGCATTCTGGAGTTGTTTTCTTAATTGCAATTAGGACTCTGGTGCATTTGCTTTGAAGGTGGGTGGTTTCTCTGTCTGTTTCTTTCCTGAGTCACTTATATGTCACGACAATCTCACTCCCAGGATGTCTTTACCAGAAAAATCAGTGACAGTACTGAAAACAGTACAGTGCTGTTCGTGATAAGGACTTTCACAGGCAGGCTGCCCCTTGTCTCTGCAGTTAGCATGAAAGAAAGACAAACCCACCAACTAAAGGCTGGAAGATGTGTGATACAGCGACTGAAGGAACTGCGGCTGTTTAGTCTGGGGAAAAGGAGGGTGAGGGGAGACCTTATTGCTCTCTTCCAGTATCTGAAAGGTGCTCACAGCAAGAGCGGGGCTGGTCTCTTCTCACTGGTGACAGGATGAGGGGAAATGGCCTCAAGCTGTACCAGGGTAAGAGTAGATTGGATATCAGGAAACACTTCTTTACAGGAATGGTTGTTAAGCAGTGGAATAGGCTGCCCAGGGAGGTGGTTGAGTCACCATCTCTAGATGTGTTTAAAAGCCGTTTGGATGTGGTGCCCAGGGACATGATTTAGCAGAGGGTTGTTAGAGTTAGGGTAGTATGGTTAGGCTGTGGTTGGACTTGATCATTCCACCATGACCTGAGCAATTCTGTGATTCTATATATATATCTGTGTCTACCCGTTTATTCTTTCTGTTTACAACGTATTGATGAAGCCATGTACTTCTTTGTTCTCATAAAAATGTTTTAAGAGGGCACAGCATAGGAAGAGAAGACAAAACCCTGGAGCTCAAAATGTGGATCTTGGTGCTTCTGCTCAAGCAATACGTCAGTCAGTGTTCAAAGAGCACAAGAGGCTTCCATAGACCAAAGTCTGCCAGAGAGGGAGAGGGACAGTGATCCATGAGTGGCCTGACTGTTCCTGCCTACACCAGAGCTGCTATGTCATCTTATCCTGTTGCCCTTCAGGAAAGGACATTACTATGAGCTGAACAAAGAGCACCATGCAACTGCCCAGCAATACCTACCTCGTACATTAAGGCAGCTGAGGGCAGAGTAGAAAGAGAGGGTCTCAATCAGCGTCCCAACCAGATGTCTGATATTTGTACATCGTGTCATGCCTCCTCTCAGCCTGGTAGATCTGAGCAGACTGGTTCCCGAAAGCAGGATGGTCCTCAGAAGCCAGCAGTAAAGTTCAAGGAAGGCCTACAGCTTAAGAACAGAAACAGCAACAGCTCTTGTGCTCCATTACAATCCTGAACTGCATTCATGAAACCTCTTTGCGAGTGCTCTGGGTTTTCTGCTGATTTAAATTCAATTGAATTGACCATCCAGTGTAACCATTTACACCACTGTTATTTGCTTTAGCAATAAAGGAAAACTTAACAATAGACTCTACTCCCTTCCCTTTTTTAAGAGGTAATTTGCTTTTCCGGGAAATCTCAGTGATCTGTATTGGAAAAAAAATCCAAGAGCAAATTGTGCGAGACATCCCAAAGGAGCACCAGTCCAAGCTTCTGACGTACCATGTGCTCAGCAGCTGCAACATATTTTACACAAGACCTATTAGAAAAATGCTTAGAGTCTTTTTAGAAGTAGTGTTTTCCCACTATTTTTTTTCATGTGCCTTACTTTCTAAAGAGCCAAACATTTTCCTCCCTCAGGCTAACTATGTCAGTCTGGCAGGGAATAATAGTTTATGGTCAGTAAAATGTTAGCTCAAAATATCTATCAAAGCTTTGTAAGTATGTAATAAAATTATGGTTTTAAGGTTTTAAGGCTTATCACCTGAAGAAGTGTTTTCCATTATGAAAGGTGCTATTGGTTTGTGATAGATTCCTTTTGATTAACATAGACTCACAAGCCATTTAAAGAACTTCCGTTGTATTTCGGGAAGTCCTAGGGAGCAAAAGAGTTTTATAGCAAAGAATTTCCTTCTTCTATTCACTTCTGATTTCAGCTCTGGTTAAGATCTTAAGACTCCTTCCAGTTCTGATTAGCAGCTTGTGCATAGCAGATTACTGGGCATTTAAATACTGCTTGGTTTTTGCGTCGTTGTGAGATGCAGAAATGGAGCAGAGCAAATCTTGCCAGGTGGTTATTTTTCTTTATATTATTATTAAATATCAGTAATCTAAAGCTACTCAGACTGACTACCATGTAAGTGGACTAGAGTACAAGGAACAGGTTAGGCAGTCAAAAATCAAGTGACCTGTTGCATTACTATGCAGTTTATGCCTTTTACCTCCGTAACAACAATAGGTACAGCAAAAAAATTTTCATCTCCACAGATGTTTCTTCTGTTTTTATGTAAATGCATATTAAGTATGTAAACATATTTATCTTTAATTATAAATGTACATATGTATATGTTTATCCGTAAATATTTGGCATCTCTATAATATGAATTTAACATATGAACTATGAAACTTCTAGTATATTTACTTAGGCGACCACCATTGCTTCAGCCTGGCATACTAGCTTTTCCATGAAGCAAAGCATACTTTTTAATAAGCTTAACCTTTCTTTACCATTTCTACTTAAAAAAAGGAACCCTCAAGACATATTTGGGAAATTCTGTTGATGCATAGTCCATTGCAAGAGGGGCAGCTCTTTGCAAAAATGCACAGCTCTTGTCTGAAATTAACTTTTGGTGCACATTGTTGAAATGGGAATTTTATCCTCGTGAGTGGTGACCAAAACTTTACATTCCAGACATAGCAAATCTTTCCATTTGTGGCAAAGAGACAAGGAAAAAAACAAGAGGGAATCAGAGGAAATCACTTCCATCTAGAACAAATTGCTGGAGAACTGCTGTCAAAAGGTCACATTCTTTCTTTAGGGAAACCTGCATAGCTCTGCTGAGGTCAGAAGAAGGAGTATGAGGAAGAGGAAAGCATACCAAGGAAGTAATCCTTCCTGTATGACCTCTGGGTTCTGCTGCTTGACCCGAGTCTAGCTTCAATGAAAGGAAGAGCTGGAAGGGATAGCATAGCACTCCCACGCGGTGAACATTTGGAGAAACATTCAGCTGCTTATAGAAAGGTTGTTTGGGAGGTACCTCTCATGCTCATCTTGTTCAGCTGCCCACTTAAAGCAGGACTGTCACTTGTCCTTGGCTAGACTGGCTGTGGCTTTTTCTACCCAAGCCTTGAAGACTACCTGAGATGGAGACCTCAACATTGTCTTGGTAGCTTGTTCCAGCGCTACGTGACTTTCCCAGTTGAGAAGATTTCCTAACATCTTTGAACTTCCCAGGCTGTGATTTTTGTCTGTTGCTCCTTTGATATATTATCTACCAGTACTAAAATGTTTAGCTTCATCATCTTGGTAGCTCTTCTGGTAGGCTGCTATTAGATGGTCTGCTTTTGAAAATGCTATTGAAAGTGGCAGCAGAAGGCAGTCATGGGACATGGTCACCTATGGGGGTGATCTTTCCTCTTAGCAGCACTTGCTGCAACTGAGCTTTTCTGAGGTGGTGTAAATCAATCAAAATTACGTGGCTGAGAGGTTAAAAATGTAAAGAAAGATTATAAAATGGAAGAAGACGAAAAATGAATCTTTTGTGTGAGTACTGAGAAAACCTTTGCTACTCCATTTCAAAATACATGTGCTACAAGTATGGAGACGTGAACTTCAGCATGCAATATTATGTCTACTGTCTAACAGACTGTGTCTCACTAGTATACTGTGATCCACCTATAACTAATCTTTTCAAAACCATTCTCTTGCATTCAGGAAAATAGGCACTCAGCAACCTATATCCATGCTGCTAACACTTTCTTATCCTCCTGCTAACACTTTCTTATCCTCCAGATGGAGACTGCATTCGAATTCCCTGTTGGGAATGGATTCTGGTTTATTCTAACTCCCAAATCAGGCAATAAAAAAAATTACTTGCCAGAGCCCCGAGCCAGGACAGTGACTTTTGACAGCAAAGATGAATAAGTCCTGATGCTTGGGAACACTTCCTCGCACTGTTTAATGTCTAGACATGGCCTCAGTGTCTTGTGTATTTGACAGAAACATTCTTTGTCTCTTGTGCTGTGGTGCTTTCAACAGAGGGTTGGTTTTTTCTTTCTTCATAAAAGCTTAACGTCTCCTTCTTGCTTATATTAAAAACCAAGGTTGGGCAGAGTGGCTGGTGACTTAAATGTGGCCTCTTGTTAGTGGAGATCTCCTTGGTCTTGTGAAGAACTTTAAGCCCTGATCAAAGCAGAGCTGCATTTAAACTGGTCCCACCTGCCCCCTGGGTGTATGTAAAAATAGAAATGAATAATGGCTGACCTCAACAAATTGGACCGCAGTGAGCAACTTATTCCATGAAGTCCTTGGTGAAGATCTGTTGTTTGGAAAAAAGGTAAGTCGTTACCAGGAGTCATCTGACTCAGTTGTGCTTTCTCCAAACAAATTGCCTGAACTCTGTCTGCAATCAAGGGATATCTGTATCCCCATGGAGAGGTTCATCATCATCTAAGGGCTAGAACGATAGTGACAGAATGGATTGCCCTCTGAAAGTGCCTATTTTTCTCCATCATCTATACAGAAAGCTTTTAAATTACATGCTTTAACTAGCTACTTAACTTCAGAAGTGCTAGCATTAGATGAGACAGACCTCTCCCAGTGAAGCTGGATAAATACCAAAAAAATATTTTCAAACAAAGATTTGCAAACTTTCTTTGGCTTTCAGAGCCTCTTTTATCTGCTTTCCATAAACAATATTTCAAGTAGTATTTTATATTGGGATATATTACAAATAAATGCATTATTGTGGTGAAAATACTTGCTTGATACCTGCCAAAGAGCAGGTGAAAGCTTGGCACTTGGTGAGGCTGCAAGCCCTGATGCGGGCTTTAAAATTTGGCTTCAGTCCTACCCCCTAAGGAACTGTGGAATTTTTACCATTCATGTCAGAGAGGAAGAAAAGCATTGTGTCTCCCTGAAGGCCAGTCACTTGCCTATAGTGAATTCTTAAGTCACTACCCACAGTGAATAAACTGACATTTGTTTGTGGGAAATATTTGCTGGGTCATTATGGATAAAACGCCATTTTCTAAAAATGTGTGGCCTCTTTCTGGTTGCTTTTTAAACAGAAGGGACTAGCTTAGTTAGATAGCATATGAGTGGCTCACCTCACTCTTGCTAACCTTGATGTTGCCTGAATTAGTTACTGGGAAATGTTGACCACTTCATTCTCTTCTAAGCCATATGTCCTTACTCCTTCAGATAGTGTTTTTATTAATGCTTTTTATTTTATTGCTTTTTATTTTATTGCATTTTATTGAATTTTTAATCTCTCAGAGAGATTGTTCTTTTTAAAATGGACCATTAAGTTTTCAAAGTTTTGTATCTCCACCATCCACACACAGAGCCTGGCATTTAAAGTAGCTCTCCATACAATGTGTTTGTAGATACAATTTTCATGATTTCTGATTTTTAAGGAGACTTTGGAACAGGTTTCCCAGAGAAGCTGTGAATGCCCTCTCCCTGGAAGCATTCAAGACCAGGCTGGATGGGGCTGTGAGCAACCTGGTCTAGTGGAAGGTGTCCCTGCCTATAGCAGGGGGTTGGAACTAGGTGATCTTAAATGTCCCTTCCAACCCAAGCCATTCTATGAGCCTTCCATATCCATTCTATGAATGGATTTTGGTGGTGAGATACTACTACCATTGCTTACGTACTTTGCTGGAACTAGTTTGTGTTAGTACCTATCTGTTTTCATTACGTCCTGATTGCATTGATAGAAATAGCTCACATGCAGAAGGCTCCATTCATAAATGTCATTACGATTGTCAGTATTAAAATCAGTTTAGAAAAAGTATTTCATTTCCCTGATTATAAAACAAAAACAAAACTGAATAAGCTGTAGTCTCAGAAAAAGTAAATACCAAATACATGCGAATTCCTGCTCTGAATTGTCCAGGCTTCTATTCTTTCTCCTTCCTTTCTATGAACAAACTTGCTTTCTTCTTGGGAATTATATACATTTTTCAGTTAAGATCCTGTAGGCTCTGAGGAAGACTTTCTGGCGTTTTCTTGGACTGGTGAATTTTATCCCAGTGAAGTGAAACAAAAAAACCTTAATGCTAGTGCTTGAAAATAAGTACTACTATTTTGTAAAGTTGAATGAAGTGCTCGCTTTGCTTCCCCTTTATTCTTAAGCTTTCCATGTGAGAACAGTACTGGTTAATTTGGATGTTAGGTCTGTTACTTCTTCCAGGATTTTTATCTTATAATTTCATCAAAATATAATATAATAGAATGTAATGTAATATAATATACAAGTTACATAAAATATATAATATACAATAATTTAATCAAGAAAACTTCTAGTGTTTTCTAGCAGGTCAAATAT